ACACCCAAAAAAAAACCTCGCTTGGCAGTTGCAATCATATAGGAGAGCACCTAATGATAAATCTTAGCGCGGTTAACTTGTTTGGGATTGGGAGGGGGGAGGGGGATGAAAATCACTACTAATTCAAAAGAAGTAAAAACAAAAGTTCAAACTAAGAAAAGAAGGTTTTTGTTTTATAACATAGAATTGCAACGGCTAGTGTTGCATGGTTCAAAACTCCAAAGTCCGCAACAATAAGTCCCTCCACCTTCTCCACTTAAATATCAACTTTTCATCTACGACAGGATTCACACTCGATTTTTATATCAAACCAATAAATACAAAACATGCGTATTTGGCACACACATTTATCACTTAACCATTTCACATCAATTTTTAACTACCAAAGTTAAATTAATTGGTTTGGTGTAAACCAATTAAGCATTTGCATGTTTGAACCTTTTACATTCATTTAACTCACATTATCACATAGTACACTCTTGCCATTATACCAAAGCCCTCGGGACAAAGTAAAAGGAAAAGAAGGTTCTAGAAACAAACCAAGAGTGCAAAAGACAGGAGGATCTTTCACGAGAGCCTCGAGCTCTTTTAGAATCCTCTTGGACGCCATCCTCGACCAAATCCCTCTACAAAAGATAAGTAAAATAACCCAAATCATCTCTATATATAAATAAATAAATCAAGCCAAACCTTTTTATAACAATCTCGATTGTTCTGGACATTTTTTTTGTTATAGCGAAGTATTGTTATAGAAAATATATATTACAACATAGCATGAATAATTGGTTCTAAAGAAAATATGACTATTATAGTGAAGTTATGTTATAAAGGACGACTATTCAATTGTATTCAAACGCGCAATGAATAATTCATTCGCGCAAAAAATACAACCAAGTCGAAATACAGAAATATAGAAAATAAAATATTATTACTAAGGGTCGAACTCAAGATCTTTCACTTACTAAGAGTGTGCTCTAACCAACTAAACTACAAAAGCTTGTTGCTTTTTTGTTGCAATTCAAAATAATAAGTAAACTCTGACCCGATCTCGCTATGGGCGGGGTCTGGAAAAGGACCGGACCATAAAGGTGTGTTGTACACAACCTTATGCTTGAACCCGTGACCTCCTGGTCATATGAAGGTAACTTTACCGGTTACGCCAAGACACACCTTTAGTACTATAAGTAGATTTACTATAAAATTCAAATATCGCTATGAATGGTAATTTTCTAAAAGTATAGCTACAAACGGTAAATACAATATATATGTTTGTTGTGTCGCATAATTGTTCCAATAGAAGAAACATACATATTGCAGAGAAGACATGCATAGCATAAAAAATCACAACTAGAAAAAGAGAAAGAAGAGAAAATAATTTTTTACCTGAGAGATTAACCTACAAAGATGCTATTTTCAGATTCTGAGAAGCGAACAGTACAATGTGGAACTCAGAACTTTGTTTTAATATAAAGGTTTTCGTATCTCTGTTGGCCGACTTACAGCTACACCCAAAATGTTTGAACAATTTATACTTAGATCCCTTAATTTCTTCAATAACTGTAGTATACGTCCAATTTATGTTCTTTCTTTTCGCAAATTTTTACTTCTAGAACATGTTATAATTTAAAGTAAAATGTTTTTTGGTTTTATATGGAGATGCTAGTTGTAGTATTTAATAAAATCTTTATTTACCAAATAAAATAGTATTATAGGATGAAGATTAAGTGATTTAATTAATGTTGTAAATGTAAATATATTCGTCAGTTGAATGACTAAGAAAATTCTCTACCGAAAGGCTTTGGATTGATTATTAGATAGAGTTATAAAGATTATATCGAAATAAAGGTCCCCTCTCGTATTTTGTCTTGGACACTAACTTAAAGAGCCCGATATATAAGGCCCAAGGTTCATATAAAAAATTTCTAAGCAAAAAAATATCAAACTACCATTATTTTCTCATACAAAATGAACCTTCAGATAATTGTCATAAGTTCATCTATTTCGTTAAATCACAACTCTGCATCATCAAAGGTTGATAAGAAATTTGGTTAGTACTGTTCGAATTAAGTGCCGTTTATTTGTGGACGTATATAAACGTCTAGTAAATTCTTTACACACATATATAGTTCGAGTCGAGAACGATGAATATAACTGCACATTGCATACGCTCAAGATTCCATTGTGTGCACCACCCATAGAATACACTTAAAGCCTACAATCAGAAGAAATTTATTTTAGAGGTAGAGGTGTAATTTCTTATCATATCTTGTTCGATGGTAAAAAAAAATAGACATTGGGCCTAATTCAGATATATATATATTTTATAAAACGCACACATTTTGAATTTTGTAAACCTGGAATGTTAAAATAGCACGAGTTAGTCAGTTTTCGGACTGATAATTGAAAAATAGTCAGCGTTTGCAAGGTGATTGAAAACTAGCCACTATTCTACTGCAACACGAAAAGTTACAACATAATTTACGGAAAGCTTCAGCATAATATACTGGAGATTGGAGCACCTGTGTATAGACTTCCAGCATAATATGTTGGAACTCCACTACATTATTAAATTCCAGCATGTTATACTAGAAGTTCATATGTACAAAATTCAAACTCCAGCATAATATGTTGGAACTCCACTACATTATGAAATTCCGTCATGTTATACTAGAAGTTCATATGTACAAAATTCAAACTCCAGCATATTATGCTGGAATATTTTCGAATTTTGAATAGCTTTTTTTCAAATTTATCTTTTACATGAAAAGTGACTAAATTCCGATTACTTTTGAATCTCTGGCTATTTTTCGATATCACTTGTAAATCCGGCTATTTTTTAATTTCTCCCGCCTTGAATTTGTTGAACATTCACACCATTCAAGAACATGGAAAAGATAATATCTTGAGAGTGAGAAAGAGAACCTAGAATTTATAATCAGACTACAATTTCAAGAATACCTTAAAATAGTATCTTTGGTACACTCTAACCACTCTAAACATGAACTAATATCAGGTTACAACTATTCATATTGTTCACTGAGAGAGTGAAGTAAGCATTTAAATATGAATTAAGATGGTAAACAGTAATAAAAATGGCTACAAAGAAAATGGTCTTGAGTAGCTCATTGAGTATCAGATTGTGTCTCAGGCACAGGTGTGGCTGCTCTTGGTGTTGAATTTTCTGTTCTGCCTTCAGATGAAAACTGATTCTCTAACCCAGTAGGCCGAACATTCTCGATCATTTTAACGACCTCGGACATTTTTGGTCTTTGATCAGCCATCCTTACCACACAAGACATTGCTATCTGTAACATTTCCACCATTTCTTCCTCTATATTTGGGTACCTCAATAGTTCCAAGTCGAATACTTCAGCAGTCCACTCCTCTCGGACTACTGAATGAACCCACCGGACCAAATGTATAATCTCATCTCCATTCGTTGTATGGACAGGGGATTTACCTGTAAGGAGTTCCAATAACAACACGCCATAGCTGTAGACATCAGAAGGTTGAGTGGCTTTTCGGGTGTCTGTTATTTCAGGGGCACGGAAACCAGCAGCACGAGCAACTGGATGAGCTAACGAGCTCATTATTGATGACAGACCAACATCGGATACACAACCATATCGTTTAGAGTTCAGAAAGATATTAGAGGATTTGACGTTTCCATGGACTAGCTTGCCACCATTCTCGGCATGTATCCTGGCAATACCTCTCGCTGCACCAATGGCTATCCTAAGTCGAGTTTCCCAATTTAAAGGGATCCTGTTATCTCCCCGTTTACCTACAAGTTGTATATTCATAGATGATAGTCAACGAGCCAGTAACAAAAACAATACTCAATAACAGGTAATACAGTGATCAAACAGAGATGACAAAGATACCAATTGCCTTAAAAGACGATAAAAAAAAAAAGGAGATAACATGTATCAGAGTCAAAATTTTCAGTAATTAGGTGACCTATCTGTGCCCCATTAGACCAAAATATCACCATTCCGTTTTTAACAGAAGCAAGGGATCGGAGTTCAATCCTCTGTGTCTCTCATTTGTTCATTTTTTAGTTATCATTTGAATAACATGCCGAAGATTAGAATAATCAGAATGCATTGGTCGATAAAACTTAAAAGTTAAAACATCTATTGCACAACTCATCATCTTAGTCGAAAGCTACACAATTACACTCAGATGAAATATTAGGTTGGCTTAACTAAAATACAATAAGTAGATAACCATCGACTTTCTACAAATCATTTCACTCCATTTGGTTTGAGAAGAACAACAGAACTCCTAGTTCTAACACCAAAACCGGGGGAGGAAAAAAGCAACATAAACATAAAGAATTCTGTCGTGATGTTCGTAAAAGATTCTATACAGAATAAGGTTGACAATAGCATAGGATTCACTATTCTAGACTTCTATTTAATTAAATCAGGTCCTACTAGTTATCTAAAAAGCTTAGCTATTCATGAGATTTGACATCATATATATTTGCTTGATGGACAAAAAGTTAGGAAAAAAGTAAGCTTCTCGACAAAATCATGAATTATTTTGACTTACCATAAAAGGGAACAGAAATCAGAAATGATTATCCACATGCTATGAAATAGTTCAATCAACTAGTGGATGAAATGAAAGACTAATGACAAAGCAGAAGTGACAAAGATTTGTATAGTTAAGTATGTTGGAATTTAAAATAGAGATAGGATTTTGCATATCTTATTAACAGAAAGGAGTCCACTGCCCCACAGAGATGCTTAAACCACATGTTAGGATCATCTCACCTTTTTTTTATGTACAACTAACTATTTATTAGGCTGGAAAGAGAATATATGGAACCTACAATATACCTCAATGGATTCCCACTTACATCTCTGTCTCTACCATAACACAACAAATTATATTAGTTGGCCTTTAGATTAGAAGATTCTATGCCTTTCTGAATTATTAAATGTTCTTCAATTCATTGAATTAACATGTCTGATTGCTATATGTTTAAGGAAGGCCGTGAAGCAACGGTAAAGTTGTCTCCGTGTGACCTATTCGAGTCGTAGGAACAACCACTACTGTTTGCATTAGGGTAGGTTGTCTACATCGCCCTTCCCGGACCCTGCTTAAACGCGGGATGTCTTGTGCACCGGCTTCCCTTTAACATGTCCGATTGTGAGACATCACTTAGGGAAAGCTTGTTTTAACAATCATATTTGCAAAACTAACTAAAATACCTATTCAAAGCAAACAATAAAGCAGTATGAATATGCATAAAGTGAAATACCATGGAGCATTGCAGCAACACTACCCTCACTGAAATAATCAGAGACAGTAAGCTTCTCATCTTTTGAATAGTAATATGCTCGAAGCTCAACGACATTTTCATGTTTTATACTTCCAACCACCTCCATTTGTTGCTCGAACTCCTTCTTCCCGGCACCTACATCCTTCAACCTCTTCACAACCACTGTGGTAGCATCTTCTAATATTGCTTTATACGCCATGCCGAATGTGCCTTTCCCCAATACCTCAGCAGAAGCTCTAAGCAAATCTTCTAAATCAAATGCATAGTTACAACCCTCAAAGAAAACCAATCTATTATTAGCATCTTGACTCCGCGAAATCGCCTTCTCAGGAGACATATCTCCCTTCTCCATCTTACCAGGAAATAAACCATCTTCTTTTTTTCTTCTAAAACAACAAACAACCAACAAGAAACAAAATCCAAGAATCCCAATTACACTACTAGCCACTATTATCCCAAGCAAAGCTCTCTCACTCAATTTCCTATCGTTCTTGGATTTTGGAATTGGTTGCTCAGGAAGTGAAACAACAACAGGAGAATTTGAAACAGTATAGTCAAGTAAAGACATATCATTACCAATGAACACATTCTTTGGAAATCTTTGAAGTGATTTTGGCACTTTACCTATAAGATTATTGTTTGACAAATTCAATAGCTGCAAGTTAGGCAAATGCAAATCAGGAATATTACCAGAAAATGAGTTATTAGCAAGATTCAGTGAACTAAGATGACTCAAACCAGAAATTGAGCTAGGAATAGTGCCATTGAATCTATTGTGTGACAAGTTGAGACTAGTAAGATTTTTCCAAACAGAGAAATCAATAGGCAGAGGACCTGAGAAACTATTGTAATGAAGATAAAGATATGACAAGTTTTTGAGGTTAATAAAATCCATAGGAAAAGTACCATTAATACCATTAGATCTAAGGCTCAAGATCTGCAATGCTGTTAAACGGCTAAGAGTATTATTAGGAATTGGACCATTGAAACCAACCCCAGGTAACCTTAGTGCTATTACTCTAGACCCATCTTCACTACATGTCACTCCAGTCCAGTTTTTGCAAATTGGAGAATTTGCATCCCAATTTAAAGGGTGCAAATGAGGCAACTTGTTAACAAAATCCAATAAAGCTTGCTTATCATT